CAATTCTTAAACACTTGACATTTGAACTGCAGCAAAATATCAACAGGACTTCCAGTCCTGTTGATTTTTGTTGTTATTAATCTAACTGATTAGATCTAAGTTTAATTCAGATTTACTCTGAACATTTTTGTATAAATAGGAGTCGGTCTAACTGTCTGCTAATAATTATAATGCTTGATTAAGCAACAATAACAAAAGTTTTGATTTTAAGGCAAAAAAAATAAGTAACAAAAAAAGTTATATATGTCATAAATTATTTAAGCTCTTTAGAGCAACGCTTATTATAGTTTATTTAGAAAAGAGAAAGAGAAGCATTATTTCAACGAAGTGATAATGGTTGGAGGCTGGCTGCAACCTTTACTTGTTTACTTAAATTATAAGTTATTTATATGTAGATACTTATACTGTCTGTATGATTCTATAATCTCTTATATGTGTGAACTCAATTAATGTTAAGCGATTTTTTTGTTATATTTATAGAGTCAACTTCTCGTCGGATCAACGACGCGACAAAAGAAATTTAATCAAACGTGGCTCCTTTTTTAACAACGTAAGAGATTGTTATCGTTGTTAATTGTGGTGAGGTATGTAAATGACTGATGTTTCAATCAATGAAGAGAAAAATAACAATAGTTAGAAGGGAACTGAATAGGATAGTGAAAACGATCCTCCACAAAATATCGGACAATTTTTTTAAATAAATAATGATATCATGTTTTGAATAAATGTTTATATGAATAGTTTAAATATAAACTTTAATAAATAATATAAATTATTGAAATGAAGTTTTTAAAATTTTATTAAAGAAAAAATTTTCAAAAAGTGCCACGCTATACTATTCATATTTTGATTTGTAGCGTGTGGTTTTTTTTTGTTGTCGCAATAGGACCATCCCTTAATGAATACTTATATTTGGTGCAGACATTTTTATCAGGTCTCCTTAAGCATTTTTAAGGCGGATGGTGTTGTCGAATATAACAATTGCTGTTTGATGGACAACGCAAATGTTGTATTCGAAAATAATATCAATATACTGGTATATTGATTTGGTTCACATTACTAAGCTATAAACATTGTATCCGTTCTTACCTAAAAATAAGTAAATTAAATTAACTTGAAATTTTAAATTAGATGTTCGGTTTTGTCTTTTTTTTTTTTTTTTTATTTTATTTTATTTTTTTTTATTTTTTTACCCTCAAAAAACAAAACATTGCAAAAAAAGCATTTAACAGGAAATTCACGCGAACCACGGAGTCCTATAATTAAGTTGCGGAAGGTTTAAAGTTTTATGGATTTAATTATTTCTTAACAATACTTTATTGAAGGTGTTAAATCAACGAAGGTGTTAAACAATACTTTATTGAAGGTGTTAAATCAACGAAGGTGTTAAACAATACTTTATTGAAGGTGTTAAATCGCAAAAAATTAAAACGGCATCAAAACCTATATTGAATTAAGGGAGATGGGTTGAATTTTAGCCTTACGTACTTAGATTTTTTACAGAAACATACAGAAATTACTAAAAATCACAATTGAGCTAATATTTCTTTATTTAAAATGTTAGCTTTTCCTGCATTTTTACGGCAAGAAACGTAACTTTATAAAATATTTAACATTATGCTCTGAAAGCTTGATTTATATTGATGGTGTTCAATATCTAAAACTGGTTAGTGATGTAAAATAAAAATTATCGTTTCTTTGCGTAAAAATTTTCTTTTTTTTTTTTTAATGACAAATTTGTACTGCTGCGGGGAAGCGTCAGGTGGTTTGACCTTTTTTTTTAAGAAAATGAAAAGTCGGGCGTTTGCAACAATCTTGCTTACATTTTTTATATCATATTTTTACAAAAATGGAATTAATGCCGTTTTTTGATTATTTCCAATAACTGTGAAACGGAATTCTCCGTTAATATAATTGAGTATTCGAAATTCAAATTGATCCTGGAGCCGCCAAAAGTTTTCCAGATCATAAAAAAATGAAAGATTTTCATTTTTGCCTAAAATTACAACATTTAGCTATAAATAAAAAGTTATCTTTATATTAAAAACTATAAATTATTTATTTAATAACAAGTAATTTAATAACTTATTTATCATAACTTTTGTTTGATTTTAACAATATGTGACCTTTTAGTATCAACACGGAGAAGAACCTTCTGCTATTTGGAGGAGAAAGATTTGCTTTTTCAAAAATGTCATTGACAGCAATGCAAAGGAGATGGTTCATTTCACTTATATTAAATACTCCTTCCATGACATACTCTACTTTTTTAAAAAAAATTAATGAATCAATACTAAGAGCTATCAGTTCAGCCTTAAAAAAATAATAACTTTATTGGTTGAATGATTATCTGCAATTTAGAATAAAATTATTTTTTATACTGGTCCAACAAAATGTTTATCATGACATGATACATCGTCAATAGCAACTACAATTATTCTTATATGAAATATTTCATTTAATGCAGAGGTTTTAAGTTTTTCACGAAACAGTTTTGAGACTTAATTTTGACGCCATACAGACCTCTCCGATATTTAAATATATAAAAAGTAAAAAAATTAAAAATTTTCTGTTTTATGATTACTTGTTATTTAAAATATATCATTATTTTATAAGTAATCTATATATAAAAAACTTTTTTTACCTTAAAAACAGGAAATTTCAATATTTCTCTCGCATTGATCTTGGCAGGACACATGAACTTTTTTGTATCTTGTAAAATAACGTAGATCTTTTATGAGCAGTGATCACCTATCTATAATCAAACAGTCATAAGTACATTTAAGGTGGATTATACAACTTATTTTTGAAAATTTTTTTTTGATTTTAAAAGTTTTTAAAGAAAAGAATGATACCAAAGATTTGAAAGTAATGTATTACGTTAGTTTTTTCTATCTTTATTTAATAATTTTTTTTTTTTTTTAATTAAATATTTCTGTCGAACCCATGATGAAAATCTAAAACTTTATTTGAAACTACTATGCAAGCCATTCGAGAATAAAGAATATTACTTTCTTTCGCGCTACTTTTTTTACGTTGTCAACCATAAAAATGGCAGCAATAAGTTTACGCTGTATGTTTAACTAAAAGCAGTTATTACTTTTTTAGCATACTTTCTACTTTGGAGCATGTGAAAATATCTTTCCATGCATTTTTATTAACATTTCTGCCTTGATATGTAAGGTGTGGTATTATTTTGTTATATAATCATTTCATATAAGATTTTTTTTACAAAAAATATAAGAAAAAAAATGCTAAACTCTGGTATAAACATTTCGATTAAAAAAATGTTACTGCAAGAATGATCAGCAGGTTGAACTCTATGTATAATTTTTCACTAAAAGGTTTATCTTCGTGTGGCTTGAAGATAAACATTCTTATGAAGTCCCAGTGGGCACGGACGTAAAAAAGACGTCTTTTAGAAAATTTATATTTGAACGTTTTGGACGTATTTTAAACGTTCAAAAGACGTCTTTTTTAGGTCCGGTGCCCACTGGGATGTAATTTTCGTAATTGACAGTGTAAAAATTTATATTTGTAAACACTCGATTTAGTTTTCTATATAAATCTGGTCATTTTTTTATATAAGTCTTGCCCCTTGTTTGATGAATTTACTCATGCTTGCCAATTTTTAGAGTAAGTTCATATAAAATTAATAAGAACGTCAAGTTAAGAATTTTGTTTTATGTTACTTTAAAAACAACATCTTTTCGCTTTTTTTAATGCTGACACCACGTCATATAGTATTCAAAACTTGATTCGTTTTCGCTAATGGCGATTCGCAAAAATTCGAAATGAATACGACTTTTTTTCTTGCTGCAGCGAAACGCTGTAGCGAAAAAAAATATATATATATATATATATACATATATATATATATATATATATATATATATATATATATATATATATATATATATATATATATATATATATATATATATATATATATATATATATATATATAATATATATATATATATATATATATATATATATATATATATATATATATATATATATATATATATATATATATATATATATATATATATATATATATTTGCCTTATTTTATTATCTTTTTGATGTTATCAATGTTATCAACACATTTATCTTATTTATGTTTATTTTGCATATCTTATTATAGATAGTTTATTTATGTATCTAGATATGTTTATTTAGTAATCTTGCGCCTCGTATGATATAAGGCTTAAGATAGAAAAAGTTACTAAATAAACATATGTCAGACTTTAACAGTTTTTTACAGTTTTATATATAGTTATTGTAGAGTGTTTAAACTAAATTTAAGTTTTTCGCTTTCACAATTTCTTGTTATATATGGTCTTAGTTGACAACTCTTCTGTTGTGAAAAAATTATGTCGATCGTTTGTTTTTTTGAATTGTTGTTTGTATATCATCAACTGATGCTTTTTGTATTAGAATTTTCATTAATATTGTAGTATTTTACGAATTTATTACATCCTAGTCATTATAAAATCTAGTTGTATTGCATCATCTCTTGATCTTTTAATTTTTATTGTGGAATAAAAGATTTATCAGTAAGTTTTCACATGATAAATTTTCTAAATTATAAACACGAATTGCTCTCTGATGGAGTTGATCAACCAAAACATGTTTTTGTATATGTGAATTCCTTATTGGGGTTCAATATTCATAGCGAGGTCTATGTAATGATATATTTTTTTTATCTAAATATTCAAGTGTTTGATTTGCCTTAATGTCAAATTTTTAAAGTCTTTTTTTTCAATTTTTTAAATTTCATTTAAAGCGCTTATAATAAAAATTTTTAAGAATTGTTAATAATGATTACATTGAGCTGACTTTTGTTTTAGTATGTAGCTTGCTAGCTCTGCTACTGTCATAATAACTCCATTTTTTATATTTGATGAATTTTCTTATTTTATTACTTTATATAAAAAAAACTTTAAAAAAAATATCTTTATATATTAGATTTAATAGTATTGATGTTTCATTTTTAGATTTTGTTTGTAATGAATAATGTGCTACCACATAAATGCAGCAAATGTTTATGAAGCTAAGGCAATAAACATAATTTTGATACAAAAATGCCAAATCTCAAGTTAAATAGTTTATCTAAATCTGGTAAATTTACACTTAATTAAATATATTAATAATATTTCTGCTTTCAATGTTTAAGTGATATAAAAGTAGGGAGTTTAGTCAAGTGACTTTTTATTGCGGAAAAAAAAACGCTGTTTGTTTTTGAAAAATTTCGTCCAAAAAAATGCATAAAACGATTTTAGGTAGATGTCGAAAAATGAAAACCCACCCATAAAAACTACAAATTTGAATACATTCAAATTTGTAGTTTTTATGGGTGTTTTGGTATCGTTTTTTTTTTAGAAAAGAATGTAGAACATTTATTTAAGTGAAGGCGACATTCTACTTTTATATTGAAAAAGTTATTTACACTTAAATGATTCAGCTTCGTTAAAATACCAGTTTAATTAGATAATTTATCCGTCTTGACACGAAAGTAGGTTCTGTAACTATTTATTAATAATGCGTATGTGTTTTTAATTTTTTTTCTAATGGTTAATTAGGGTGGGGGTTTTTTGTTTTTTAACTGGTAATTTGTAATATTGCCCCCGTTTTATTAACAGTAGTAACATTTTATTTAACTCAAAGATATGTGCGTTAGACAATTTTTTTATGTGGAAAAAAAATGGGCACGTAGATGGTCTTTACTTGAATAAAAATATAGATATAGAATAATTAGGGTGATACATCTAGCTTTAATTGTTGTATAGGTTTTTTTATCTACTATATTCAAAAGAATGATTACTGAACTAATTTTTTTCAGTTTTATAGTATTATTTACTTACTGAAAAGTAATAATAATTGTTATTATTTTTATGATGATGATGATGTTGATGATGATGATGATGATGATGATTAGCCTGTTTACAGCTATTTAAAAGCTTCACGACTTGATTCTTGAATCCCTTTGTGTCAAGAGATTTAAATTCATTTGGCAATTTGTTGTAAAACTTTACCCCATTGCAAAAGATAGACTTTAGTCCGCTTTCCTTGTTTTGGTTTTTAAGTGATAATTATTTGTAATTCTTATTAAATAATCTTGCACTTTATTGTTTCAATGTTTTGTTTTAATGAGTGTCTTTCAATGAATGACAATCATTGAAAGTTTTGTAGTTACATAGTATTGTGTACAAATGTAAATACTTTCATTTTAAATTCAAATAAATCATCCGGGAATTTGTCAGTAAGTTTTATCATTTTGTAAGTTACACTGTAAGTTGCTTATATAACATTGTGTATTTTATTTAAAAAGTATTTATATTGTTTTCATATATAAACAACTAAACTGTTATTAAATTTTGAAAATTAGAATGTAATTGTATCACATAATTTACATTAACTGTTTAAAATTTATAAATTTAAAACAGTTAATGTAAGTAACTGTTTTAAATTTATATATTAGTTTGGCTTGACTTCTGGAAAATTGTATATTTATTCAGATAAAATGCTTAATAAAGAAATTTATTATTGGATATTAAACATTGAAAGATATCTCATACAATGCTGTATATTCTATGTTTTGTGTAATGTTCAACTGTTTTATGGTAAAAAATCATTAGCTATACAGATAACTTAACTAGTTGATAACATCAGAAAGTTAAAGAAGCATTGCAAAAATAGCAAGTTGACATTATAATTTAATGGTACGCATAAAACCAAATGCAAATATTCAAACTTTTTAGGCTTCAACAATTTGGTCTCAGAATCAAACATAAGAATGACTAAATAGTAAAACTGATGTAGTAAGAAAAGAATTAGTTGATAGTTCAAAAATCAATAATAAAAAACAAATAATGTTAAATAAAAGCAGTTCTCAAAAAGAATAAAGCTATGTGTCTTAAGCAAAGTGTAAAGGAAAAATTAGAGAAAAAATTTAACTATACCAAAAAAAAATTAAGCTTTTAATAACTTAATAGTTTAAATATAAAAGTATGAATTTCATAGAAGAATCTTAAAAATTAAAAGTATTTTGCTCAACTTAATTTTTATTTTGTCATCTCTGGTATGGAGTGTGACAAAAAAAACTTTTTTAAATAAAAAAGTTAGAAGAACCAAAAGAAGAAATTCAACTTTTTACTGCTCTTACTACTGTCTTTTGAGCAAGTTTAATGCCAAACAGTCTTTAAGTAATTTAAGTAATAATTTTAAATCTATTTACATTATGTGGCTGTTAAAAACAAAACAAAAAAAGAATTGATGGTAAAAGTTTAGGATACAAGACTAAACAAATTAATAAAGCGACAAAAAAAAACATTCTTTATCAAAAATTTTTAATAATCCATCTGATTTTGAAGTTATTTTTTTTGACATTGTGTTAGGAAAAAAAATTTCCTCAAGGTATTTTTAGAATGTGCACAAGTAGTACAAACTGATCAAATAGGTGGAAACGAACCACATTCTATGTTAAGTGTGATAATGAACCTGATAAACTATGATCATTTCTTTTATTGATTGATTTTGAAAAAAGTAACCATATTCTTTGTAGCGAGGATTGTGACGTTTTTTTTATTATATATAATTTTATGTTATAATTTAAACTTAATTATTTCTTTTATTATTAAAATCAATAAGAATATGTTCTGATAACCTGTTTTTACTGCATTTGAGTAATTTTTATCTTTTCGATGGTATAAGTTATATTTTATGTGTTTACATGTTTAATTAAAGGGTATTTTTATATCATTTATCAATATTTTTAACTTTATGGGTTATGCTAAACTACATTTTATCATAGATATAAAAAAAAGTTATTATAGGTATAAAAAACAGTGAATATATATATATATATATATATATATATATATATATATATATATATATATATATTTATATAATTATATATATATATATATATATAAACATAAATGTATATATATATATAATATATATATATATATATATATATATATATATATATATATATATATATATATATATATATATATATATATATATATATATATATATATATAGGTATATATATATATATATATATATATATATATATATATATATATATATATATATATATATATATATATATATATATATATATATATACATTCTCAAATTAGTAAAAACACTTATCTAATTTTTTTCTTCTACAAATTGCTTCACCATTTTAGATAATATGTTATCTATAGGTATTTTGAAGTTTGGATATGAGTTTTTTACTTAATAATGCATTGAAATAAAGTTCAAATAAAAATTTATTCAATTTAGTTTTTTTGAATATTTTTGTTTCAAATAACATTTTAAATATTTAAACATTAATTGTTTTATTGTTTAAAATCTTCAAAAATTTTAAAAACATATTTTACTGTTAATTGATCAGTTAATGGTCCGTCTTTGCAAAACACCAAAAAAAATTATATTAATAAAATGTGTAAATAATATAGATTCATAATCTTATTTCTGAATAAATTTTAGAAAAAATTTGTTATTGCAGATAAATTCAAATTTTACAGATAAATTCAAATTTTACGCGCAAAAAAAAAAAAAAAAAAAAATTAATTTTCGGTGCCAAAAATTTAATGCGATACTTCATGAAAACATTTCTTCATAAGTCCGAGTATTGAAAATATTAAAACATCCATATCTTTGGAACTAAATATGCAAAAGATGTGGTTGAAACCATTTTGGAAATGAAATAACTAAAGGAACGCAATATATTTAACATATACAAAATTTATGTTGGCTATAAAATAGCCTAAACACCCTAATAAAGTTTTTTTTTTCTTATTTTTAATATTACTAATGACTTGATTTACTAAATTTTAAAATAATGCAAAAATATGCATCAAAGGACTAAACCGAGCTGTCAAGCCTAAGTGAACTAAAGAAAAATTAGAAAAAGAAAAATGATAAAATAATTAAAAATATATATCGAACAGTTGTTCAGAACAAAAACAAAGATACTATAGTAAAGCTTGTAGTAAAAAATAATAAAAATAATTTTGGCTTCGCGCATGTAAAAGAAATGTAACAAAAACAAAACAGGACACATAAGTAGCCACAAAATCTACATTAAATACAAATAATTACCGCGTTTCGAAGAGGCTCAGTACCAATACTAGTTTGCCCCGTCAGATAAACATTTATGTTTTACCCCGCGATTTACGCCCACTTCATACAGTAAAAAAGGACTTCACTACAAAATTGCCAAAACCCTAACCTCACCCAAATTTGTAAAGCACTAATATTTTTGAAGAATAATTTTTAAAGAATATTTTAAAAAATAATTCTTATAAAAAACCAACATAACCCCAAAATACTTAACTAAACTACCAATATGATAAAAGTTGTTAGATAAAAATATAATAAAATATACAACAAATGGCTAAAATTGATACTTTTAGGATAAATAAACTCAAGCCAATAAAGTGTAGAAATATATATGAAATTATGACAACCCAAAAACCAACACTTTTACATATATATAGACTCACACGCATACACACATATATGTAAAGAATGCCATAGTAACAATGCAGTCATAGCTCCCTAGTCTATCACTAATTATTATTGCATAATATTTTCAACAAAAAAATAATATGATACTTATATACATATATATTTATAGATACACACACATACCGATGGTTGTCGAAAAAAGTAATGAATGTCCGGGGATAATTGTACATAAGTTAGCTCCATTATGTACCAGAAACAAAAGCATTCTCCCGCAGAAACAGCAATTATATATGTGATCGTATCTGTTCGTTATAGTTATATTACTGGAAATCAGCGTGAAAACTTTTAATCCCAAAACATATCTATCCAAACCAACCATACTACAAATGACCTTTGATGGATGTAGCATTCATACATAGGATTTATATTATCTCAGATATGTACCAGAAACAAAAACACTCTCCCGCGAAAATAGCAATTATGTATGTAACCGTATTTAAATAGTGATAAAAATTGCATGTGTAATGCAATTTTTATCACTACTGATGCACTGTAATTTTATTACAGTGCATCAGTAGTGATAAAAAACGCAATCTAGATAAGTAAAGATAATATTATAAATATAAAATATGAAGAAAATACAAAACGTGACAAGCCAAAAAACAATAAAACCGTAAAGGCTGTATATATAGGTCTAGTATAGAAAATAGTCGTAAGTCCCTAGTCCTAACATAAATAATTTTTAAAAAATGCAAAAATGTGCATCAAAAGACTAGACCGAGCTGTCAAGGCTAAGTGAAATGAGGAAAAATTTAGGAAAAGAAAAAGGATAAAATAATTAAAAATATATATTGAACAGATATTCAGAACAAATACAATGTAAGTTTTTTTTCAATGTAGTCTCCTAACACTTTTACTACTCCCCAATTCCTTATTCCTGTCAGACACAGGTAGTAAAATAACTCTTTTTTTTAATTCTCTGTTCCCTTGGTGACAAGTTTGTATTGCAGTTAGATAAACAGATTTCATTTGGATATTATATTTGGGTTTCCATTAAAATATTTTACATATGTGTTAATAATGTTAAATGTTATATGTTCAATCTTCAATATTTTAATAATTTAATGATTATGTACATCATTTTTTAAATGTTTAAGATGCTTTAAATTTTAACCATACTGTGGCAACATTTTTAAGTTATCTATTTATAAAAAAATGATAAATTAATTTATCAAAGCGTGTTATACACTTTATTTAGGCTCTGCTCTGAGGTATATTGCTGTGAAGTAAATCTCAAGACATGAAATTGGGAATGGAGTTTTGGTCTATAATAATCCAAGTACCACATTTTTTGATAAGTATATTTGTAAGTATCCTGCACATAGTTGTTCTTGTAAATTTTGATTACGATGTTAATTATATTTTATTTTACAAAGTTACGAAAAAGATCTTTAACTCTTAGTCTCGATAAGTATGATTTGATGTAAATGGATTCAGTTTTTTCTTCAATAAAAAAAGTAGTTGTTATTGTAACATGATCACCTTGTTAATTACATGTTGTGAATATTTTGTTTAAATGTTGTTACTATGTTGTATAAGTATATATGTAATAAATTATTAAGTTGTGTTTATGTTTTTTTTAATTTTATTTAAGTTAAAATGTATGCAAACACTTAAGAGGAAAATAACGTTACATTTTGACGCAGATATTTATAACGAACCATGTTGACAATTAGATATGAATTGCAGAAAAGCGCCATTGTGGAATGGGTATGACTCAAATCATTGTATTATAATTTTTTTTTTTGTTGCGTTTATATGTTTTGAAATTTAAGTCTGTTTTAATAAACATCTAATAAAAAAAATACCACTTTTTAATCAAAAAATTACATTTAAATCTGCTGAAAACAACTTTATATATTTAAGAAGGCTAAGAATAAATAAGAGAAAAGAGTAATTAAGTGAAAAATATAGGGACTCCAAATAAGATTACCCAATGAAAATTCATAAAAATCCAAAACGCGACCGAATTAATTAACAAAGACAAAGTCACGATAGTACGGTGTAATAATGTCTAATTGTTGTTTTGTCAGTTATTGTCCTGCTCTGGCTAACTGCTATTTAGCCATCCCCGGCTAGCCACGGCTGGTCCATAAAAATCTTTTGAGCAGAACGGAGCTTCGCAGCCGAGTTTTAAGTTTTTTCAGAATGCTAATGTTACGAAGACTAACTGTCTAGACCAGTAAAATGGGTCACGTTAGGTATGTCTCACACGTACCACTTATGTACTTTGTTATTTATATATTTAGTCAATTTATTTAAACTAAGACAAAAATTAATTCATCTTGGCTTTGAGTTAAAGATTACCAATTTATAACTTTAAATTGACTTTATATCTTTAATTAAGCACCGTTGTTAGACGCCTGAGATTATTATCTTTTTATCGACTCCCTCTCCCCTTGCTTCCTCCCTCCTCTTATTGCTTATGAGTTTTAATATAGAAACTCTTTAGTGTTAACTTTGGGAGGGGGTGGATGGAGCTTCTTTATTAATTTTTATTTGTTATCAAAATAATAATAACAATAATAATAATATCACAAAAACTAATAAAAATAAATTCTCGAAAATTTATTTATCAGTCACTAATATGAATAATTTAAAATTTTTATTTAAAACTTTAAAATTCATAAAAAAATTTCATTTAAAAAAGTTTAATTTGTCAAAATTAACAAATGTTTATTTCTCACCATAATTTTGAACTTATGAAAGCATAATAAACTCTATTAAAACAATATTAAAACAGCTTTTAAAAAAAATGCGCATTTGACCGCAACCTCACACTATTTCCCCCTCTAACCTTCCTTGTGTTACGCACCCCAAAGTAATTAAATAACAAAAGGTTTCACAATATTTATTTTTTAAGAAATAAAATTGTTTTTTTAAGTGTGCAGACTTTAGTAGTAAGTAGAATCGTTAATATCTCAAATCATAAATAAGAAAAAGGCGTCATTCTAACTATTTTCTACGCGTAATTTCATGTCAATAAGACATTTTTTGGATATTAAGTAGCATATTTAATAGATTTTAGAAATATTTCAGTAGTGGCGATTTGTAAAACGGGCTATGCTAGGTCACTTTCACACCTACCATTTATATTGATCTCTTTGTAGTCAATAGGTTTTAGTAAATGGTTAGTAAATGGTAGAAAATAATGGTAGAAATGTTTTCGGTTCTCAAACTTATTAAGCTACACCTCCCTGTTTATAGATAAATATATAGATATATAATCTTTTTCGTCAATGTATATATTTTTTTTTTACAAAATTGTTAACGTAACAATTTGACTCGAGCAATCAGAAAACGATATTCTTATAATCTTGCCCCGTTAATTTCATAAATATCAATTAAATATAAGATAAACAAAAGTTATAAGATATTTAAATACGAAAAATAAGATATTTAAATATAAAAACTTGTATGATTAAAATAGCCGAGTAAATGTGGCTTTTTAAATGTGAATACAATTAAATGCTTTCATAAATATAACGTACAGGCAACCATAGTTATTTTAAAACAAAATGGACTAAGTGGAAAATTAAAGTGAATTCATTTACACCAAAATTTACTCAACGTAACTAATGTCAATTTGGTTCTCTAAGACGTTCTAATATGTCAAAATCTAAAAAAAAAAAAAGTAAAAAATTATGACATATAAAAATAAATCACATAAAAAACCTGGGTATCGATATACCTGTTATCGGTAGCCTGTTGCGAATCAACAACACCAGTTGTTTTCATTGCGTTGCTAGGGGGTGCGGTCCGCTCCGGGTGACATCATCAGAGAAAAGACACTAATATGAATAAAAAGCATATATGCCAGACTTTTTTTTTTATTATTAAAGTTTCAGTTTACTGTTTTTCAGCATCTGTTACAATAGCTGTTTCATTTTTAAAAAATTAATCTAATCTGTTACATTAAAGTTCTGTTTTTTTATCATTCTGTTACATTAAAAATTAGGTCAAATATTTATTGCAAACAAAAAAGGTTGTTAAATATCTATCAATATAGTTTATATCATCATTTATTAAAAGCCATGACAACATTTTGCAGTAACATTTTGTTACTTTTATAAATATTTAGTAGCAAAATGTTGTCTCGCTTTTAGTATATGCCAAGAAGCAGTGAGCTCCATTAATGAAACAAAGTAATTTCTATTTATTATTACTGTATGAATAAAACGATAAATTAGGAGTCAGTTGACTATATTTAGTTACTCCCTAATCTTTTAGCATGCAGTGCACAGTGGGTCAGTAGGTGAACTAAATAGGAAAATTTTTGGTTATCTAATCTTGAAAACTTATTTAATTTTAGTATTTATATATATATATTAAATAAATTTATTGATAATTTATGTATATTAAATCCCTTAGTTACGGGGACCCTTAGCACTTAAATAATGAAATTAAAAAAAAAAAAAAATTTAAATAAGTATTTGGTGACATTAAAGTTGTGTGATTATTCAATTACATCTACGTTTTTAAACAAATAGACTTGCACATTTTTATTTTGACTATTTAGAGATATAAAAAACCATTGTATGAAATAAACTATTCATAGCATGTTATCTCAGTTTACTTTCAAAACCACAGGAAAAATAAAAATTTAAGAATTTTTTTTTTGGCGTACTATAACTAATTTGCCGTGTGTTGTCTTTATATTTATTTGAGGTATGTGATGCTTCAATCGAATTTAGATTGATTGCTCTTCCCTTTAAATCCCTGTTCAGATTTTATATATGTTTTAAGTTGGTTGCAATGGTACTTTATTTTGCATAGCAATAACCTATTTTTACATAAACTTTATTTTAACAGTATTTTTGTTGAGTGCGGCCGTGGCGCAGTGGTTAGAACACTTGCTTTATAGGCAAAAAATCCAAGTTCAAAACGTGCTTTAGACATATTTCACGTCACGGTAAGGAAGGAGGCGTGAACATTCTGGTTAAATACGCTTCCGTGGTGCTCTGTAAGAAGACCGTTAGAGCTTTTTGGGGCACCTAAAATAAAAAATAAAATTTAAAAAGAAAAAAAAGTGTTTTGTTTGCACAAGGAAGGCAATATTGGGCGTATGTATTAAATGAGTTTCATGTGAACGAACATGACATACTTCAGGAAAAGTTATTTTTTTTGATAATATTTGGAACCTGTTTGATGTTTAAGGGTCTTGTAGCACCCCTAATAATATTTTTTTATTTAAAACATTTTTAATTCCAGAATTATTTAATTAAAAACAACGCGTTTAGGATGATGTATATATATATATATATATATATATAATATATATATATATATATATATATATATATATATATATATATATATATATATATATATATATATATATATATATATATATATATATATATATATATATATATATATATATATATATTTGTAAATAAATTTGCCTTAAATAAAAGAAACTACAATTACAGAATAGCTTTATTAGAAACATAATCGGCAGGACTTCTAAAAGATCATACGATCTTATCATGAAGCCCTTTACAATATCAAATATAATAATAATAACAATATAATCAAAATAAGCAATAAAAAATAAATCAACATAAACTATATATAACTGTGCATTTAAAATATAGATATACTGAATAAATTATATGAAACACGTGAAACAAAAGAACTAAAAACAAGAAAAAATATCTTCTGCTGAAAAGATATCTTTTTTTAATTTTTGTTTGAAAGAAGTTAAAGTCTATTTCAATGACAAATCAAAATTTTGGCAAAAAATTTTTATTCCATAAATAAGGACCGCGGTATGAAATAAATAGTTGTTCAAATATAGTTTGGCAGAAATGTTCTTGTAAATTTTTTTTATTGCAAAGATTGTTTTTTATTTGTAAATATATTTGCTTTAAATAAAAGAATTTATAGGGGAGATCATACGATCTTATCATGAAGCCCTTTGCAATATTAATGGTGACTTTAGTGATGTTGAATTTTATATATAACTTTCATGGGTTATTAGAAATGTTGTTATTAGAAAATGACGTTTAAATTAAATAATATGGGAGTATTGATACATTTGTATTTGTACTTTACTATTTTTGTATTTATACTCAAGCTAGAAAATATAATATTATTTAAAAAACTCTTCAATGATGTCATTTAAAACATTATCTATGCATAATTGACATGTGGAAAACTCTGTTTCATAGCAACAGAAGTAATGATGAAAAACCGCTCTAACAAAAAACGTTATAATCAGATAGTTATTATTGTTATTTTTTTTTTTTTAATTAAAAATTTTGTAATTTTTACACTCTCTTTATTAATTTGTAACTATTAAAGAGAATAATGTTATTAAATAATAACTTATTACACCTTTTTTTAATTTGCCATTAAAAAATAAAACAAATGTTTTAATAAAAATTACAATGAGTTTTTTGCTTTATTTTCTGACGTATGGAAAATAACAAATTCATATTATTTTAAAACTAAATTTAAATATTTTTCAAACATAATACTTTTGTTCTTAAGCAAAAAACAAACGTATTCAAATTTAATATAACTTAAGTTGTTACATTTGAACAAAGTTTAAAATTATTTTTTTTGCTCAAATTATAGTTTTATACGCGTTATTTTAGCCTTTATATTCTTTTAACTATTTTTTATTGGTTTCTCGTTAAAATTTGTTGAATTTTTAAATAATAATGTTTAAATGATCCATGTTTTAAAATATTAGAAATATATTATGTATCATTTTTATTATAGGGTAGATTAGGGTAAAATGAACAACATTATTTTTACAAGTATTGAAATTAAAGTTGCTAAGTGCAGTAAGCTCAATTGCAAATCCAAAGCAGCTGCGCCAACTAATGCCCAACGCAACTGGTCCAACAGTAAATGCAATGCCGTTGTGCCAATAAACGTTATAAGCAGTTGGCCAAATAGCAAATCCAATGCAGTTCGGCCAACTGAAGCAAAATGATGTTGGTCCGACTGCCAACCTTGTACAATTTTACAAACTGAAGCAAAATGATTTTGGCACAACTGTAAATCCAACACAGTTTAGCCACCTAACGCAAAATGATGTCGGGCCAACATACCTGGCTGCTAGGGAACCCCATCAAAGGCTACTTCATAAATTTAAAACGTATATTATTTTCCTCACTAAAGTAAACTTATCAACATATTAAACCCTATCGAAGTTATCGTAAAATAGCTGTTAGAAAACGCGCGAATTATTGCAAGCCACGCTAGATTAAATAGTTTTATGCGTGTTTTGTAAAAAATATTAGTTTGGATATATAAACTAAAAATTTTTATAAACTATACCTATATTTCAACATAAAAAAATTCCCACCCCACTCCCTTTTCTACTCCCACCTCCATCCCAACCCTTCCCTGTATAAAAGACTCGAGAGTAGTTAAAAGAGGAAAAAAAAGTCGTTTGGTGGTTATAAATCAGACTGGAAGGTTTTCACCAGTAGAGTTATTTTTTAGAGTATATATATATATATGCATATATATATATATACATATATATATATATATATACATATATATATATATATATATATATATATATATATATATATATATATATATATATATATATATATATATATATATATATATATATATATATATATATATATATATATATATATATATATATATATATATATATATATATATATATATATATATATATATATATATATATATATATATATATATATATATATATATATATATATATATATATATATATATATATATATATATATATATATATATATATATATATATATATATATATATATATATATATATATATATATATATATATATAAAAGCAACCTAAAATAATTCAAATTTTTTGCTTGTTACGCTCTCGTTATCGGAGGTTTTTTAAACCATCAAAATATTATTTGAAACAAAAAAATAAAAAAGATTGCTGCCCCATGCCAAACCCTAATTTG